AACTAAAAGGGACCGGCATATCTATAGCTAACGACGCCTCATATGAAGATCGAACTAGATACAGAACATTAGTGCATCATCTAAAACAAGCTAAGACTCAAAAATTAACTGCCAAGATTAAAGGATTTCTTTTAGAAGTGGAGGATAAGTTATACAGCGTAGAAGATCTAAAGAAATTAGAAGAATAAGCAATATCTAGCGAAACTGAAGAGAGAGAAGACAAACTCCCAGCTGATGAAGACATCAGAAAATAAAGTAGGGAATAACAACAGTCTTAACAATATCCCTTCTCGTGATAAAGTTTCTTTCACTCCAGTTACAAATGATAGAATCCAAAAATGACTCAATTAAATCAAATGGATTAAATATAAAAATGGTGCTTCAGTGTTGTCCCTTAATCATTCCGTATGTCTCACATATAATTAATAATTGCATTAACAGACATTACTTCCCTAGCAACTGAAAACAAGCTCTTATCAGATCTGTTCCAAAAACTAGTAATCCAACCGAGTTTAAGGATCTAAGGCCTATTAATATTCTTCCAACTCTCTCAAACATACTTGAAAGAATAATAGAAGAACAAATCCGTATCTACTCATAATATTTTACCAGAATATCAGTCAGGTTTCAGACCATCTCATAATTGTGAAACTGCACTTCTAAACGTAACCGATGATATTTTAAAGGCTAGGGATGATGGTAACATTTCGGTTAGTAAAGCATTCGATACTCTTAATCATTCCCTACTGTGTGCCGTACTTCATTATATAGGGTTTTCGCCTGATGACGTAGGTCTGATAAAATGTTACTTAAGTGATCGAAGCCAACGTGTTAAAATTAATTAAATTATTTCTGATTCTATCAGGGTACGATTTGGAGTTCCTCAGGGATTTATATTAGGACCTGTACTATTTACTCTTTATACAAAAAATATCGGAACAGTTTTAAAATCTTGCAAGGTTCACCTATATGCCGACGATACACAAATGTATAGCTCTTTTCATCCAAACAATATTTTACATGCCACTGACCTTATCAACCAAGATCTCAAAAATTTAGCTATATGGCCAAAAACACATGTTCTTAGCATTAATTCGAAAAAAACGAATGTTTTTGTTTTTGGCCCAAATAAATTCTGCCCTGACTCAATTAAATTAAATTTTGAAGGTGATATAATAAAACCGGTAAACAGTGCCAAAAACTTTGGTATAGTCATGGACAATCAGTTCAAATTTAGCAGTCATATTAATATATGTATTCGAAATGGCTTCGTTAACCTAAAAACAATTTATATTAGTCGTCATTACCTGTCATTTAATGTTAAAAAAATTCTATGTGATTCGTTGGTTCTATCAAAATTCAATTATGGAGATGTCCTTTATGGCCCCTGTATTGGGTCAGTTGACAAAAGGAGAATTCTGGTCATCCAGAACTCATGTCTTCGTCTAATATGTGGAATTAGAAAACGACAACCTGTATCCCATACATTAAAAACTTTGAATTGGCTAAATATGGAAAAACGAAGGTTACTTCACGCTGCTTGTCTATTCCATAAAGTCATTAAAAACCGCTTACCTGTTTATTTATATAATAAAATTTAATACGGTTCTGGTACGCATCTCCTAAGTACTCGATATAGACAAAAAATAACAGCTACCCCTCACCGCACGGAAAAATATAAACGCTCCTTTACATACCAAATATTAAAAATATATAACGCTTTACCAAATTAATTAAAATTAAAATCTACACCCGCATTCCAAAAATCATTTAAGCATACTCTTTTAAACGAGTAACATGGCATCATTTTTTATCATGGAAAACTCCTCTTCAAAAAGGCACTCATCGTTCATCGCGTTATTTGGTAATATTCTTTTATAATGTTGTTAATTATTGATAATTTTACTGTTTATTTTTTTTTATAATGTTATTTAAGGCATTCTTGAACTACTATTTGATGCTTTTTGGAAAATGCCTTTTGATAATGTTCACAGATGATGTTCCTTGATAATGTCCCTTAACAATGTTTCTTAATAATGTTCCTTGATAATATTCTATTTTATTGTTTTTCTTTTTTTTTAATTTCTTGATAATGTCCTTTAATGAATAATTCTTAAAAATGTATTTTTATTAATTAGAATTTATTTTAGTTTTAGTCCTTGTTACTACTGTTTAAGATGAAAAACAGAGGTGATGATTTCATTGAAATTATCGTCACCTGATCTTCGGCATTTTGTAAATAGTTATGTAACTTAAAAGGAAAATAAAGACCTATATTATTATTACCTTTTTTCAGACAAATTCAAACTAAATAAAAATACGTCACCGTAGAACTGTCAATCATGAAATTTATGGCTATCTACGATGCTGGCGTGATATTCATAGCCATTGGCCAGTAGCTATTACAGAATGAACATGAGTAAAGTACATAAGAGGCAAGTGTGTGATAATTTTCTTTCAATCTCAAGAGCGAGAAGGTTTTCTTTCTGTTATTATAAGTGGCTTTGGAAGAACTACATTTAGTAGTGGCCGTGGAGAAAAATAATATAATTATTAACGAAGATAAAAGGGGGTGGAACTTTTAAGTAGGCAACCCTATATTTAGGTATTTATAAACAGCCTGCGTTAATTAGAATAGCTAATTATGGTAGTTATACCTAAAGGAAGGATTTTTGTTAAATAATAGCATATTTGATTAATTCTCTTCCCAAAAACACAGTGCAAAAATAAGAACCCATACTTTGCCTAACCTGCTTTTAATTTCCTTCTGATACTTGAATTTGTAATAATTTTGCAAATTTCATCTTCTAGATCGTTTAAACGGCTGAAAGTTTTGCATATTCTTATTTCGTATTTTCCTTTTTTTTTTGTTGTAAAGCATGTGGCAGCCTTTTGCAATTACTTTCTCATCGTCCAAATTCAAATTTGCCGCCACTTGTCCGCACTTGACGAGCAACTTATACTAATTGAGGGATTATTTTAAGCGCTTTCATTTACATAATGTGCTTTTCCTCACGTTTTCCCGAGTGCTTCCCAAACAGATACGGCTTTGAAATATTACCTACCCTTATAAAAAACTTATTAATGTCTAATTAAAAAAAAAAAAAACATTGTGAACTTCAAACTGCATTGGAGAATAAACAAATCAGGCTTAAGCACAATTAGAATTTTTTTTTATTTTATGCCTTTAAAGCAAGGCGTTTGTAGACTCGGATTTTTAAATTTTGAATATTTAAGTGATTACGCAAACTAACCGGTAGCAAATAATTAATGAATGTAATACGTTTTTTTTTTTAAGAAAATCCATTTTTTATATGCCAACCCTGTGCATCCTAAATGGTGCAAAAATAATGGTCCAATTATATTTGAGGGACTTCTGTCCTAATGCCTAAGTGATTCCATTTTATCTTCTTATAAAAGTTGAAAAATTTTCCGCTGAAAAGGGAAGTTTTATTATGAATGCATAAGAAATCGAACATCGAATCGAAGGGTGTTGCTATTATTAGTCAAATGGCTTTGGGGTTAATATAATGATAGAGGAGCTATTGAATAGCGTATCTACTAAATGGATTTTACCTGATTTTACTACATTATTCAGACTGTGAAAAATTAAAATTGTATTCTTGATTATTACTAAATAAAAACTTAAGGATATTGATGGTTGTCAAATCATAATTTTATCTTAAATAGTAAGAAACTAAGACTATGCCACCATTTAATTGTCGGGCGTATCTTAGATTCGCTCTATACTGTTTCGATTATCAACAAAATTAATCTTGTAAACATACATCGGATAAGGAAGTCGACTATTTAGCTGGGCTACTGTTTTAATATTTAATTTATATTGGTAATACAAATTCTGTAAACATATCAAGTTGAGCAAAATACTCGCATATAAATGGAATATTTATTTTTATTAATATAACATGAATTAAGAGGAACAAAATACCTTATTCTCGAAAAAAAAAAAACAACAGTAAAGCTTAAAAAAGGATAAATTTAGCGGTTTATTTATAGTGTTTGGGCATATACATTCAGTCAAAAAGAGTCTCACCAAATTTCAACTTGGCCGAAAATGTAATGGCTCATATTGCAGGCATAAAACTAAATATTTTTTAAAAAATCCCTACAAGTAGTAAAATAAAAATTAAGAGCTAAAATTCAGCAGAGGTGTTTGCCTTTTTATCAGTGAAAACTGGGTGTATGGGTTTTGAAAACACTTAATTTTTAATACGATTTTAAACGATTTGCTTATCTGTATTTTAATTATAGTAAAATAAGACCAAGGAAATCGTATTAAAAATAAAGTATTTTTAAAGCCTATACACTCAGCTCTTACTAATTAAAAGGTGAACACCGTGCTGAATTTCAGTTCTTAATTTCTATTTGACTAGTTGTAGGAATTTTTTAAAAAATTTAGAACATATATTTTCGGCCAATGTTGAAATTTGGTCGGACTGTTTTTGACTGAATGTATACGCCCAATCACTGTAAATTAAAACGTTCAATTTATCCTATTTCAAGCTTTTCTGGGTTTTTCGATAATAAGCTACTGAGTGTCTCTTATTAAAACACATATTTAGTATACCAAAATGCAATGATTTTAAACGAAACTTAAAATAACTAAACGATAAACTAAAATCATACAATGATCCACGGTATCTAGATTGAATATTTAACTTAATTGCTATACTTTCAAATCTTCATGCAGTATAAACTAATAATAAAGGAAGTTATCCGTATATGGTGTTTTATTATTACCTGACCATTATTTGACTACCATAATTCTTCTTTATTTGACAATCTGAGAAGGATAAAAAACCCAGGGCATATTGTGTTTGTGAATATAATTATTGACCAAAAACAAAATGTTTAGCCAACTGTCACAAAAAATTACAGTTTACGGATTTATTAACATCCCTCGTATAACTTTAGAATTGGAAAGCTGTTTATACATTTATTCTAATTCAGTACCTAATTTAGAATGTATTTGGTTTCAGAATCATCCGGTCCAACTTCTGACGACGACTTCTTCCTGTGCGAACCCTCTGGGAACGGAAACCAAAAAATCCTTGACCTAAACTCTCCTGACAGCATCAACGAGGGTATCATCTCATCGTTGAGTGTCTTCTCTCCTAATAAAACAGATATAACCGTTAAGAGGCACCCCTCTCCCTATTATTACGGTGACCTCTACAAATACAGAACAACCGATAATTCAACACAATCTCAGGCGATATTAGAAATTAAGGTGAAAAAAAATCAAAGTCTTCGACCTGAACGCGAAAAAGAATCAAAATATCAAAACACCAACAGGAAATCTAGAAATAATAAAAAATTTCGTAAAAGTTCTAGCTTAGATAATACGTATGAAGTTAAAGAAAAGCTCAGAGCTCGACCGAAGGCTCCCGTAAAGTACAAGAGCTCCAGTGTAGAAACTCAGAGCACCGATTCAAGGTAAGAAACGATAAATTTTTGACATTTTTTATGTAAAATTTAAAGCTCTACATACATACAATACTATGAGTAATAGAATTCAGGAATTCTAAAAATATAAAGTACGTAAAGTATTTCCGTTTAGTACTACCTATCAACACAAACCATTAAGATTACTTCCATGCAATATTACTTGAGCTAAGCGGTTTAAGGACAAATCTGTTTTAATCAGTTTCTACTTCAATTTTTGCCCTCCAAATTCCTTTGAGCCTTGGGGCTTTTTTCCCTAGATTATATACTCGCACTTTATCGATCAGTATTAAGTTGATGAAAATTATTTCGCCGCGTGTAATATCTTCGGGCATTTTTAAAAAATTAATTGTAAAGAAACTGTAGTGGTTGGTTTTTTAACAATTAATCAGAGATTTTTAAATATCAAATTAACAAAATGGCGAGATTAATTAGACAATAAATTGTTAATAATTATTAAATATGAAAGAGGACCGAGATTTGATCCTTGTGGAACTCCGCCATATTTATAAAATTCAATATAAGATAATTGGCGTTCTTGCGAAAATAATTCTATTTCTGCTCTTCTACAGAAAAATATTTTGAAAATAATTATCAGCAAATGTTCGGACAGTCAGACTCTATTAGATTTTAGTAGAACGTTCAATACTTTACATCAAAATCTATTTTAAGCATCTTGTATTATATATATGACAACTACTTTATTATCAATTAAAATTTTTTTGAAAAATTGCAGTGTGTTAAAATAGATAAAAGTAAGTAAATCAATTTTTTTGAATCTTCACTCGGGCGTACCCCATGGTTCCATTTTGGGACCTCTGCATACATTTTAAATCTTATTAATCTTTAAAAAGCTGTAAAATTCACATATATGCCGATGACACTCAGATTTATTAAAGTTTCCCTCCAGATCTATCACAAAATGCATGTGAGGTAATTAATAGAAATCGGCTTCTTTTGTTGTTCAGCAACCGAGTAGTTTACTAATTAATGCTACAAAATGAATCGTTATCCTGTTTGTATCAAATCGTAATCGTGATAAAATTATACAAGAATTAGGTATTGAAATTATTAATGATAGACTAATAGTCCCTCATCTGTTTGGCAAAAAGTAGGACGTCATATTATTTTTGACTTGCTTTTTGTATTTTTCTATAGGAGAGCGGGGTAAAAACATGTACATGTCCCGGTGGTGGGAGCGGTATGTGACCTGTGAAATTCAAAGTAAAGTTGCTTATCGACGATTTTTCCAATTTTTCTGAAAATGAAATATATATTTCTAGATGTCAATAAAAATAAAAAATCCCTTTGCAAACATTTTCTATCGTCTGGTTTAATTTTAATTTTGGTCCATATTTAAAAGTAGCATTAAAAAAATACAAAAAATAAATATACAAAAATATACAAAAATATACAAAAATATACAAAAATATACAAAAATATACAAAAATATACAAAAATATACAAAAATATACAAAAATATACAAAAATATACAAAAATATACAAAAATATACAAAAATATACAAAAATATACAAAAATATACAAAAATATACAAAAATATACAAAAATATACAAAAATATACAAAAATATACAAAAATATACAAAAATATACAAAAATATACAAAAATATACAAAAATATACAAAAATATACAAAAATATACAAAAATATACAAAAATATACAAAAATATACAAAAATATACAAAAATATACAAAAATATACAAAAATATACAAAAATATACAAAAATACACAAAAATATACAAAAATATACAAAAATATACAAAAATATACAAAAATATACAAAAATATACAAAAATATACAAAAATATACAAAAATATACAAAAATATACAAAAATATACAAAAATATACAAAAATATACAAAAATATACAAAAATATACAAAAATATACAAAAATATACAAAAATATACAAAAATATACAAAAATATACAAAAATATACAAAAATATACAAAAATATACAAAAATATACAAAAATATACAAAAATATACAAAAATATACAAAAATATACAAAAATATACAAAAATATACAAAAATATACAAAAATATACAAAAATATACAAAAATATACAAAAATATACAAAAATATACAAAAATATACAAAAATATACAAAAATATACAAAAATATACAAAAATATACAAAAATATACAAAACACCCAAGGCGGACTCATTGTTGTCTAGGGATCTTTCTATCCGGCCAGCAACTAGATGAAGGGCTGAATCAGTAGATCTGCCTGGGGTGTATGCATGTTGGTTTGGGTGTAGTGGTGTTGTAATCACCGCATCCCTTATGTACCTTTCGCATAGTCTTTCCAATGTCTTCATAGAAAACGATGTCAGACTAATTGGTCGGTATGTTTTTGTGACAGTGTAATCCATCCTTCCAGGTTTGGGTATAAATACCACTTTTACCTCTCTCAATTTTTTGAGGATATACCTCAAAGCTAATGAGGATCTGAATATACCCACCAGGTGCGGTGTGAGTTCTTCTAGACCCCACTGAAGTAGGGCTGGATAGATACCGTCAGGTCCTGGTGATTTAAATGGAGAGAAGCTGGATATTGCCCATCTAATTTTTTCATTGTCTACAACGTGTTTGGTAGTTTGCCATGGCTCTTCCTAAAAGGAGAGATAAGCGAACATTTTTCTGGTTTGAACTTGATAATAGCAGAAAGCAGGAAAGGCATAAAAGTAATATCTTGATCATTGTCTAATCTAAGGTAAATACATCCAGATTCTGGGTCTGGAAACAATGAAATAAATCTTGAATATTTTCTAAGTTATTTTTGTGGATAATTAAACTTTTTTAAAACATTTTGTCGTTTAATTTATATCTATGATAATTGACCTTGGTTCCCTATCTGCAATTGTGTTTGCAGTAGACGAGATATAACAGGCAAAAACTAAAATATCCCTCACCTCACACAATTTCTATCATTTTTTTTATTGTTGCAGAGACGCTCCAAATGGCAATTCAATGCCTCCAAATCCAGTGACTGTTACAGTTTACGACGACTATGGATTAGAAGACATGACACGTCAACGTCATGTATACGAAACAGCCTTCGACTGTCGTATCAGTAAGTCAGACGACGATCTAGACCAAATCGACAAAGTGAGCAATCACCCGGTGCTTATACATGTCAGCAAGGTCTGGGAGACCCACCCTGTTAAGGAACCCCCAGCAGACAATGGGACGCTTAATAGAAAAATTCGAGGACGGGATAGGGAAAGTTGTTCTAAATCCAGCCAGGAAGACAATAAATCGGTTTTAGCTCTTTCGCATGATATTCAGGTGAGTATTATTTAATATTTTTAAGTAATAACTTATTTTGACGCGCCTTGCAAAGTTTTTTCTGGGTTGAGAATGAGACTGAGTTGTCACGCTTGACTATGTAATGCGCATTCGGGTAAACTCGACTTGAGGAGTCGATTTCAAAGCGGGCAGCTCAGTTTCATTCATAATCCAGGATAACGCGTCGTGGATTGTGTTGATATTTACATCGTATTTCTAATTATTACTGACAATAATTTCTTGATTAAATTTGTCTTTTCTTAAGGTATAATTTAGTACTCATACTGTGTCCCAAATAAATTATTTGATTACTTCATTTTATTTGTTTTGATTTGGTTGTCTGTTCGTTTGTTACGTCATGACGAATTTTCAGAAGCTGCATCTAGCGGAAACTGATGAAAACAATTCCGCCTCATCCAGTGGTCTTCCTCTTCGAGGGAACACCCCCTCGCCACCGTCCACAGCTCCATTACCAGCTAAATTTCACGGGAAAGAACACACAATGAATAGTATAAGAAGCGCTCCAAACCTACCCTCTCATCCAAAATCACGGCACCTAAATAGTAGTGATAGTCTCAAATTACGCCAAGGCAGTGCTTTCGAGATAGAGGTATATTTACCAACATACTGATTGACAAATCAATACAAATAAATGATTTTTTTATTACATAGTTCGGATGCAGCTCTAACCAATTAATCTCGGAGTTCAAAGGAAGGCCAGTTCATTCAAAGGACTCGGATAAAGAGAGAATTTGTGAAATTAAGGGTAGGCCACGAAAAGAAGTTCTTCTTATGAATAAGAGGTCCAAGGGTAGTCTTTTAGAATTTAAAGGAAGAAGGATACGGCACAAGTATTCGAGTACGGAAAGCATGACGACGAGTAGTAGCGGAGGAAGTATGGAAAGTATTAAAAGTAGTACTAGTGAAGGTAATAGAAGTACGTCTAGTTCGGAGAGTAGACAATCTCCCTCTCTAAGCTCACATAGTTCCGATTCTGGCGGTAAGTCCTGCTCTAATTTTCTACTAACTTTATTTTCATAATCCACCTATTTCAGGAAATCCCAAAAACTATACCGTCCCTCAAAGCTCAGGGGGTTTTTTAGGCAACAAGCTCCACATTCTTAGTCCAATTTCAGATAAGTCCTCGCAGGAACCAATGTCGGAAACATCGGATAATAATAGAAATAATAATTCCCAAAAGTGCTCACCAGAAGAAGTCCAACCCATACCGGAAAATGTAAAAACCAAACGGCGTCTACCTCAAAATAAAAATCTACTAAATTTGGGGTTCCATACAACCAATCCGGAAATTCAGGGTTCCGATAGCGGCATTTCCATTCAATCCAGAGAGGTGAGTCGCTTTTTTTCTTGAAATAAAAGTGTTTCATGTACCTACAGAGCTTTACACGATTAGTGCCTGTCAAAGATTTCACAAAAAGTACACTCAAAATCTGAACTGTCTACTAAAGTAATAAACGTTTTCATTATCACAGAATTAGAATTAGAAGGTTTGTTAAGAATTGAAAAAAGTAGTGCATTGGGATAAATGTTAACTAACATCGAAAAACTTTTACCGCAAATAAATTGGTTTTCAATTATTTCCTTTTGCAGTATACATATATTGAAATTAATATGATTTTCCTATAGAACTGGTTCTTGTGAAATGCTTAGTGCAATCCCATAATATTTGATATTGTTATAATGAGAAAAGTTAGGATAATTCAAATATAAAATATAATACGTGGTAATCCGTTTAAAAATCACAATTTTGTTCCAGACTGAAGTTGTTGAGCACCCTGTATATTCGAAAATAATTTTAAATATGCAGTTTAATGTTACCTACCTTCTATATTTGTTTTTTTATATTTCTAATAGTGCTAGAGATATTGTATTTTTGTACAGTAATGGATCACCCTACACTGAGAGAAACGTTTGTTTAATACATATTAATAAAGTTTATTATTATTTAACATATCATAAATTTGGATTTGGCGGAACTTACGTAAGTTCACTATAATAAGTTAAAAATAATCAATTATTTGCTTATATTAAACGTATTCACTAGTTTAAACGTAAATCAGATTTATTAATATCAAACAAATAATAAGTTAAACGTATATTTTATATTACAGTTTATTTATTTATTACCACACTATTGTGTTTCCAAGAAATCTTTATAATTTAGTTATCAAATGACAAATATTATATTAATATCTTGTGGAATTTCATTTTCAGCATCTGAATCCATATTATTTGTTAATTTGAAAACTCACAAATCAAGTTTGACATAAACAGTAAATTAAAAATCAACGAACTGTCACTTGACAATAAATTGCAAGGCAGCCTGGATTATCAAACAGCGATTGGAAAAATTGAAAAAGAGGGACCGGTAAAGACTATTTTTACCGGTCCCTAGAGTCTACTTTCTGGTCTAGACCGCCAAAACGTTACTTTCTGGACGAAAAATTGTCCAGAAAGTGTATATTTTCTGGTCGGTCTTAAAAAATAAGTACATACAGATTCTATTATTTTTTACTCTAATAATAAACAAATATACTATATGCTTTAAAAGTAATTTGTAATGGATAGACGTACCAATATATAAATTTGTTAAAACTTACCTTCATATAGTGTGTAAGCTTTTTCCAAGAAAAATCTAATGCCTGATAGAAACAATAGATTTGTTAACACAAAGCATATCAACTGGAAGCATAAAAAGTTTGTTGTGATGAGGCCTTAAAACTTGAAATTTAGCTAGGCATTAATTTCATTCAGATAAAGTATTTACATATATAAATAAAACGCTGAGATAAATTAACTGTAGCTTTATAAGGCCCAATTCCACCGCTAGTAGTTAAGAAATAAATCAGTTTAAAAAGACATTTTTCTATTAAAAATGTCATTTTAAATTTGGCTTATTTATTAACGACTATCGGTGGAAATGGACCTTAGTAAAATCGTAACATTAAAATTTTCCATAAAAAAGTCCCCATCTCTAGCAACATTTTCAGTGATTAAGTTATCGATTCAGGTTTTATTTTTGTTTTAATAAAAGGAGTCTTTATCATTAATAACAAGTTTATAGATGAGAAATACGTTTTTCATAAATTTTTAATGTAATTTGTGGAAATAAAATAGGTATTTGTAAACCAAAGGCTATAAATATAGAGTTGATCTTTTTCGGAAGAATCAGAAATTTACGGCCGAGGCCAAGTAACTTCTGGTGAGTAATATTACAATAGATAGACATATATATTTTTTTTTCATATAGACAATTTTTTACAATTCATTATGGTTCTTCAAAAATAAAACAATAATAATATCTGTATACTATAAAGTAATTATAAACAATATTTAAAATTCAAAAAATCCTCTACAGAATAGACATATATATTTTTAAAAACTTTTTGAGCTTATTCTTATATAAAATATATGTTTTACAGTTTTTTATAAAATCCGGATGTTTGTGGTGGGTCCTATACATTTAAGAGACCTTTTAGTTATGTATGATGGTGGGTGAGTTTTTCCGAGTTTTCCTTACCTGTAAGTCAAATGGCACCATCAATCATCTTTAAGTGGCCCCGGAGCGCCACGGCAAATAATAATAATAGCCGTCCCTTTCCCTGCACAAGCTCAGCTTTTGGGGTTAAAATTCACTCGTAAGGGGGTGAATTAGGGAGAGTATTATTATTATATTATTATTTAAACTACAGTGTGTCTACTTAAGTTGAAACCATATAGAAAAAATGTTATTCTTGATTTTAGGAAAAAAAATTATTCTTGATGAAAAGTCCTGCATGGCTCAAAACTTAAAATGCAAATTTTTCAAGCCGTATACGAGGTTTGTCAAAAAATATGAATTTTACTCAAGAGTAAAGTACGTTCATTTTTGACAAAATCGAAAATTTTCATTAAGAAAAGTTGATTATAATTGAAAATTACATTCAAATATGCAATTACACCGATCTATCTGAAACAACAGATTTTTTTATTTTTTATAAACTTTTCTACACATTGGTTGTAAATATCTGAAAACGTTATAAATTTCGTTAGCTTTGGAAACATTTTCTCTCTTCTATACTATAAACATGATACGCTTTCCTTTTCTTGATGTTTGTGAAGAATTTAGCAATTTTCTTAATGAAAATTTTCGATTTTGTCAAAAATAAACGTACTTTACTCTTTAGCAAAATTCCCCCTATGGGGTCTATTCTGTAACAATTCCTTTATATTTTAACGGCCTTTAAAAATATTTTCGTATTCACTAACTTACTTCTGTCATTATTTAAACGGATATATTTTAACGGCCTTTAAAAATATTTTCGTATTCACTAACTTACTTCTGTCATTATTTAAACGGATTCCTTTAAAATAGTCCTCAAATAACAATCATTTTTAAAGGGATGTTAAAATTCACCTTTAATTTTTAACGGTTTTGAATTGAAAATTGAGGATTTGTATGGTTATGTTTTCAAACTAGTACAAATGAATCTTAAATGCTATGTTGCCAAGTGTTCTCCTGCCATTTTTAAGGGAATCCGTTAAAATAAATAATTTTTAACAGGCCTCTAAAATTTGTGTAAACAGAATACCATTTTTGGTTAAAAAAATTAACGGGCCCTAAAAGTTTCATTTTTAAGGGCCTCTAAATTTTAACGGATGTGCTACAGAATAGACCTCTATTCCTACCACGCTCAGCGGGCGATATTGGCATTCAATTTTAAATATACAGTTCACTGGGTTTGACGTTTGCCACCTCTATACCTACCTACTAAAGGCCTTTGCAATTTCTGTCCCTACTCTATGTAAAATATATCTTTATATACATGTAATCTGTAAGGTGTTCGAAATGACAAAATTGATATAAGTTTTCGCACTCACTTCCTGTTATACAGGGTGTTCTGTGATGATTGTGCTTTACCAACCATTTAAGGGGGGTTTTTTGATAATTTTTTGCAATTTAGGTCCTCCTGTCGAGATATTTAGGTCTCAATATTGCGAAAAAATATAGTTTTTAATTTTTTTTTGAAAACGGTTAGACTTAAAAATTGTAATTTTGGTACACATTATTCTTTAGACGAACCCTATTTTGTGCTGGTGTCTCTTCTTCCAGTTCATGTTCCTAAAGGGTAAAAATTAGTAATTTTTTTAAAATTTGTTTTTAATGTTTTTCTTTAAAAGCCAATTATAACAAAAAATTAATAAGCAGATACTATACGTAATTTAAAAACTTTTCACTCTGGTAATTATTTCGTATTATTAATAGTTTAGAACTCGTTTAAAAAAGGAAACAAATTGCAAACTTTTATAAGAAACCCCCCTTTTAAATGGTTGGTTGAACTTCTTGTTAAAATATTGAAACATCATTACGGAACACTGTTTGATATTTGTTGTACTTTCTGAGAGATCCACGGTACTTAGCATTGTGAAAAGCCCTGTAAAATAAATATTTAAATGAAAAATCCTAACAAAACAAAACTTCAACAAAGGGCATCAAGTCGAGATTCAGCTTCACTGGAGCCGAATTATCAGCGCCACCTAGCCAACATGATTTTTCCGATTTGCCATTCGACATGCCGAAATTGCGTCGGCGAAGAGCCGTCCCAGAGGCGGCCTGCACCTCAGGTAGCGCGACATCGGTGGATTTGAGGGATTTGCCCTTCGATATGCCCAAGTTACGCAGAAGAATGAGACTGCAACCCTCCAACTTGGAGACTAGCGCGTCCCAAGCGTCTTCTAGTCAAAGCGTCGTGGAGGCTGATAGACAAGGTATGTTCTTATTAGACAATTAATTTTTCATTACTGTTCTTTTATGTTTACGGATCATGAAAAAAATATACAGGGTATCCCATTAGTGCGTAACTGCTTGATATTGCAATTTTTGTTACAAACAAGTTTCAAATAAAAGTTATATATTTCATTGGGAAAGAAATTTATTTTAACTGTTGATGGATGCGCTTTCAGAAAAAAAAATCCTTATTTTGAATCTTTCGCTCTTTATAAACGAAATACAGGGTGTTTTATCAATTTTTGCGATTTCCTTCTTGACTCATAAGTTACGAACACCACCTTGTATATATTTTTGACATGATGAATGATTGTGGTATTTGGTCCTAAATACAGCCCTGTAATTACATTTTCATGTGTTGTGGATGTACACAAGTACAAGTACCTATCAACAAAATATTATGTAGTTTTTAAAAATATCCTTGGTTAATAATTAATCTTTATGACGCAATAAAATTAACAAAATCCGTCCGTTTTCATTCTCTACTCACAAAATGTTGATAAAGAACAAATAAAACATCATAGGATTCAGGTTTTTGTGCTCTTTTCAAATATAAAAATTCAAATTCATATACAGGGTGTTGTTTTAGATGGATCAATTTAATTATTTTTTGTAAATACGGACCTGGATTCCTTTTGTTCTTTATACCTCAGAGTAAATTCGGTAAGTAAAGGAGAATAACCCATACAGCACAAACATATTTTGGAAATATTTCAAAAATGCTACATTGAAATATTTGTAATGTTGCATAAATATTACGAAACGTCCCAGAAACATTTCTAAAATGTGCCTGAAATGTAAAAATGTCTTGTAAATTTAATAGTTCACATTAATATTTCTGAAATAAAAATTTGACATCTTTCAGAAATATTACACAGTAATATTTCAGAGATGTACCTACTTTAGTTTTATTTCATAAATATTATAAAACGTCGTAGAAACGTTTTTAAAATATTATTAGACTATAAAAAGAAATTTAAAAATATTCATGTTTATTTAAAATAAACAAAACAGAAACATTGATTCTTAAACAAATAAATAATTTTTAAACATTATTTCATGAAATATAAAGGCGAATCGCTTCATTTCCACCAATTTCTTTAAATGTACTAAAACAAATTAATTACAGGTACTTAAAAAAGGATTTGATACAAATTATTTAATTAACAATAGTTTTATTAATATTGTTTTAAATTGACTATAATAAAACAAACAATACTCATGACTAAACAAAACATGAAGCTCCGCTTTTCAGTCAGAACTGTAGAACTAATAAATAAGACTAGGTGGAGGGGCAGCAAATGTAGGTTATATTTAGATAAAAATTAGACTAAAACTGCCTGTAAATTTGATACATGAAATGGCGTCACTCGTCTCAATAAATATATAAAGTAAATAAACCGAACCTAACTTACAAGCTTTATTTCTGTAGTAACCTCACCTCAAATTTATAAGGCATATTCTGCTTCCCATATAACAGCGCAACGCATAAATAACAAAAAAAAGCAAATGGAAAAAACCGACAACAAACGCAAACTTATGATTATTTAGAATATAAAGGTTGCCTCTGTCTGGACATAGTATAAAATAAAATCACTACATAACCCATCTTTTTCTTCCTCCTCTTCTTACAAATCCATAATTCTTTATTAAGTGTTGGCCTTTTACAACATAACCTGTTTGGTAACTTTTTTTTGTATCATTTATACCATGTTTCAGAAACATTTTCAGTGAAATATTTAACTAAAATATTATTTCAGAAACTTTTGCTTGAAATGTTGAATCACTTCTGAAATAATGTGTGCTGTATGGAAAGTGAGCAAAATACAAAAACATATACAAGGTGGTATATAACTTATGAGTCAAAAAAAATCGGCAAACTTCATAAAATCCCCTGTATTTCGGTTATAAATGGCGAAAACACCTCGGTGGTCTCCATCCACAGTTAACGTTTGTCCCTTACTCAATGAAACATCTTGTATAAATTTGAAAAAAACATACTGTAGAAATATTTTTGGAGTTGCTTGGCAAATAAAAAAATTGACCACCCTGTATTTTCTTACAGTTTTAGTATAGCCTGGTAATACTGCAATCAACATTAAAATATTTTTGAAAGATTTTACAGTGTTGCAATGTAATTAACTTTGTTTTGAAATTAGAAGATGCTCTTAATAAAATTATCATAATTGAGGTAGATTAGCAATGATTAAAAAATTGTTTAAAATAAATATTTATAAGGTATCAAGTTAACAAATAGTGATAATAGAAATTTTTCATTTTATACAGAGTGATTTGAAATATATCTGTCATAAATGTGGCTAATTTACCCATTTTTGCAAATGCAACACCCTTTACATTATTTTAGTATTAGACTAGTTATTGATTTTTCTATCCAAAGATACCAACATGTTGACCTACTATGCATATACAGGACGTCCCATCAGTGCGTAATTGACCGATAGTTGGTTTATAAACGATTTACGAAAAAAGTTTGGATACAAAAGTTGACGAGGAAAATAATTCAAATATACAGGGTGGTCCATAAATGAGGGAGAACCAAACTTAAACTTTTTTATTATTTCTGACAAATGGTTTAACAATAATTAAAATAGCACTTTACCACAATTCCAAATTTTAAAAAGCCAATTAGATCAATATGTCAATTTTTATGATAAAACCATTAAAGATAGGAAAATTAATATGCCCATGTATAACGTTTGTGCACAGTGAAATTACGGTGACATTATTAGTAAGGGTAGAATGGCATTTTGGCTCTAATTTGGGTTAATTTTTACTACAGAATCTAACAATTTTGAAATTAAATATTTAGGCAATCGTTTGAGCTGTAAATATGCGGTTTGTGGCATTGAGCTTTTCTCTTTGAACTCTTCAAAATGATGTATAGAAATATACGATAGCTCAAAATTTCGAAAATCGATGGTGACTTTTTAAATTTTTAGAGAGAAAAATTTCTCCACGCTCACCAAATACGGATGCGATGTGCATTTTGTGCAATGAAACGTATTGGTATGCGTCTGTATAAAATTAGTGCGCAAATGAGAGATTTTAGATAAGGGTTTTTGTTAAATATCTCGGCAACCACTTGATCTGGAAAGATGCGGTTTGTGACATTGAATTGCAATATCTCAAAATTTAAAAAATCGAAAAGTTGTTTTCAACATTTTTAAGTAAATATTTTTTTATTTGCTAGGCAAATGTATAACACTGTATATCAAAAATATTTTTAAACTTAAGCCTTTTTCAAATTCATATAACTTTAATTTGAATCTTGTTTGTAACACAAATTAAAAATCCGAGTAATTACTAGGGTTGCCAGAAGTCACGCTTTAGGCATATTTGCCACGCTTTTTGACTTGCTTGTATGCGCAACGTCACAGTACTAAAATGGCCCGCGTATTTGAACCTGATGCTCTGTCATCATGGTTGTCACACTTTTCACTTTCGTAAATCTGGCAACCCTAGTAATTACGCACTAATATTTAAATAGTTATCTGCAAAAAATGTTTCTAATGGCAATGACTGACAAAGTTAGAGATACGAGTCACGTCCGTGATAACTATGCATGGGTCTGACACTTAAAAAAAAAGAATAGAATAAATCCGACATGCATGAATTTTTCGAAGACCTACTTTAGAAACATTTTTTGTCGATCACTGCTTATATTATGAACAGATTTTAAACAATTATTATATAAACAAAAACACATTGCTGTTTTTGTGCATACTTCTTAACCAAAAAGTAATATCTCTAATGCGACTAGCTCGGTTCGCTGAAATCCAAAAATAAAACTCCATATTTTTTACTTATCTTTGAAATATATCGTGTAGAAACCAATCTATCACCTATCACGTACTTTTAGTTGGCGTTTGGGCATACATTTGGATCGCCGCCCGTCACTAACTTATCTGCTCCTTCAAGCGAAAATGTCAAACAAGATTGAACACGTTTTAATAGTAACGGCTTGTATTATAATTTGTAATCGATTGCTTATCTTCAGGACTGGATTCAATTTGGGAAAATAATACACGGAATTAGATGATTCGCGAAATTTGTTTGACATCTTCTCCGTTATCAATATACAATTTGTTTTCACTATAAATATGTACAGAGTAGCTAAAAAATATGTAGGTATTTAAAAAAAATTAAAAACTTTTCTTCTTTTATTATAACTACCTATATTAACAATTTATTTGCAAAAGTATATTTTATTACTATGAATATGTCATTAAGCAACATTATCAAATAATTGAACCTGTTCGCTTTGTACAAATTTATTTTTGTTACTCGTATATTTACTATAACATTTGGCAAATTTAAAGGCTACAGAAACTACTAATAAAATACAAATTAAAGCAAGAAACACAGAATAATTACTAGTGTTAGTTTCAAGTTCTCCTCGCAAATAATCGTTCTTGTGAGTACTATCAGATACAGGAGAGTCAAAATGAATTCTAAAATTTTCCAAATACTTATAAAACTTGCTGTTTTCGAACCCGCTATTGAAATAATTAAACATGCTGCTGTTTTCGAAATTCGTTCTAGATTCTTCGAGCTTATTCAAATATCTAACGAAATTACTATTGTTAAAATCATTGTTGAAATAATTGTATAAACCCCTACTGAATTCTATCGTGTTGTTTTCGCTAGATTTTAGGCCCTCTAAAAATTTGTAAAATTTACTTTTTTCGAAATCTTCATTGAAATATTTAAGAGTGTCCGAACCGTTAAAACTTTGAGAATTTATAGCTTTAAGACTCTCTAAATACTTGTAAAAGTTGCTAGTTTTAAAATCTTTATTGAAGTAATCATACATAATACTGCTTTCTGAACTGTTTAATTTTGATGAAATAACATCTTTCAGATAATTAACGAGTTCTTTTTTAAACTTAAAATCAGAACTATCGAATTCATCACAAACTATTCCATGAATGTTTGAATTATTCCAAGCAGTTCCTCTAATAAGTTTCTTATCAAAATCGTGCACTATTTCAACTAAATCGATGCAAGAAAAATCATTTTTATCCAGATTGATTGTGCTCAAAGAAGGCAAATCTTTTATTATTTGTTTGGAATCAAAATCCTGCAAATCATTGTTGTTAATGAGTAAAGTATTTAAATTTCTCAGAGAATGTAAATATCGTTTTAAAGAAATCAGTTGATTGTACGAGAGATCTAAATATTTCAAATTACTTAAATGATCAAATACACCGTAATTTAAATCACGAATTTTATTATGCGATATATCCAAATAGTATAAATTTGTAAATTTTACGAACAAATAACTGGGAACAGAAATCAGACCATTACCTCTAACATTCAAGTACTTCAAACTGATCAAATTAGTTACATTTTTTATACTACTTGCGTTTAGTAAATTATTACTTATATCTAAAAATTGAATCTTTAAATTTGCCGAGCAATTATTTGCAAGAAGAGTATGTATTTGATTGAAACTAACGTTTAGCACAACAACTCCAGGCATACAAATATCTACGGTACTTACATTGTTATTTGACACATCAAAATTTTCAATTCGACTTGCTGAAGTCTTTAAGATCAATTCGGAAATATTGTTTTCGCTTAGATTTAGTTGCTTCAAATTTTGAATTTGCGCTAATACAGTATCGTCAAACATAGGTAATAAATTTCTTGATAGATTTAAATACAACAAACCCAATATCCCTGTCAAACAGTTTTCATCCAAATGTTTAATCTTGTTCATAGATAAATCTAGATTGGTTAACTGTACTAACGAATTAAACACTCCGGGTGGAACTTCACTTAATTCATTATTTGACAAATTTAATCGTTGTAGATGGTAAAGTCCGGTAAAACTTCCAGGTGATATTTTTTTAATAAAGTTTCCGGTTAAATTTAACGAAAGCACACTTGAGATTTTCAAAAATGATGAGGAAGGCAATTCAGAAATGTTAGATTTTGATATGCTGACTGTAAAATAATCGCAGTTGGAACATTTTTCTTCTTTAGAAAAAGGAAGGCTCTCTCCGGTACAAATCAACAGTAAATTTCTCCGATCATTATAGTAGTATCTTCTTTGCGGATCACGCAATTCAACATAATTGCAAGCTGAATTAATCATTCCAAAAAAATATGTAATCAGAAAGAGACAAGAAATTCTGTAACAAAATTATATTATTATTTTTTAATAATAAAAATTTTGTACTACCTAAACAGACTCCCAAAATTTCTATCATCTTTAAAATTGATGCAATTATTTCCCTCCTTTGAGAAAGTAAACTTTACAAACCACCCATGTATCTACACAATTAACAGTTTTAGTTTACCTTAAGTACTGGGACATCTTTAAATTCACAATAACAAAACATTTATACAAATGACAGACACTGCTCTATAAATGATACACTCATAAAAGGAAGCGTTCGTTCTACAGACAAAAGATTATAATTATCAATTATTGATAAACTTAATAAACAATACAAATAACTCCAACTGATACGTGTTAGTCAACTACTCTATTCTAGGAATGCCTCCTGATAAAGCCATGACCACATACAAAAATTTAAACAACATTTTCAAATTTAAAAAAGGACAACCCTGTTTTTTACTAACGGTTTTTCAGGGAAGACAGACAAAATTAAAATCAACAAAAACTCATAACTGTACCATTATCGTTCTAGTAAGCTCATTAAAAATTGACTTATAATGTTGTTCTCAACAAGGAGAAGTCTAAACTAATCAAAATTTATTAATAATAACTTTTATTTACGCGACCCTAACATCGGTCGTGGTCCCGCTCGAAGGCCACACAAAAGAGAACACTTCTCTTAAGCAGCAATGAGAAGAAATCCTTTTATTTATGTACATAGAATGTTATTATAAAAAACTACTTGTAAATATTGTAAATAAAGACCTTTTGAAATGAAATGAAATTTTCAAATTTAAATACCAACCCGAGAAATGAGGCTGAAGCTAGCAGACAAACTAACAGACAAACCGCGCGGCGTCCCCTAATATTTTGATATTGTTATTCGACAAAATCTTTGGTTTAGGTGGACTTTAGTGTCATGAAAGTTTAGAAATAAATGAATATTAGTGTATCCATTGAAAAAAATGGATTAATTCAATTTAAATTATTAGTTAAAATAAGACAATACGATTATAAATATAATTTTTATACCAAACAATCCAAATATTCATTAGGTTTTTGTTAATTGATTAAACAAAAAATTATGGCCGAGCAATGATTTAAAATATATTTTTTTAGTCTTTTTAAAGTCAGGTGTTTTGTCGTCAAACGACTATAAGAACTAAGAGACCAAAAAAACACATTTAGCACGAGATTACAAATATAATTTTTATACCAAAAATTTAGTACACCACTAGCAATAAAATAGATAAAAAATCATTAAATAGCAAGACCTCTAATTACATTTTTTAGGTCTTTAAAAATGCGCGGTTTCGCGGAAAAACATTCTACCAAAATATCAAAAACCAATATTTAGCACGAAATTCGAGATATAATTTTTAATACGAATGATTCATTACATTAGTATCATTCAAAAACCCAATAAATCATTATATAGCAAGACCTCCAAATACGTTTTTTAGGTCTTTAAAATGGCGCAATTTCGATGATAAACATTACTTTATCAAAATGACAAAAACCAATATTTAGCACGAAAATTCAGGTAAAACGTTTAGTATGAATGACTCCGTACATTAATATAATTCAAAAAAATAATAAATGATTACATAGCAAGACCTGTAAATACGTTTTTTAGGTCTTTTGAAAAGCGCGGTTCCGCGGATAAACCTTACATTATCAAAATAACAAAAAACAATATTTAGCAAGAAAATCCAGGTATAATTTTTAGTATGAATGATTCAATACATTATTATAATTCAAAAGAAGAATAAATCATTACATAGCAAGACCTCCAAATACGTTTTTTAGGTCTTTAAAATGGCGCGATTCCGCGGATAAACCTTACTATATCAAAATGATAAAAACAAATTTTTTATCACGAAAATCCAGGTATAATTTTTAGTATGAATGATTAAATACATTATAATAATTCAAAATAATAATAAATCATTACATAGCAAGACCTCCAAATACGTTTTTTAGGTCTTTAAAAATGCGAGATTCCGCAGATAAACCTTACTTTATCAATCGTTTCTATGTAATGATTTATTATTTTTTTAAATTAAAATAATGTACTGAATCAATCATACCAAAAATTATACCTAGATTTTCGTGCTAAAAATTGTTTTTTGTCATTTTAATAAAGTTAGTTTTAACCGCGGAACCGCGCTTTTTAGAAGACCTAAAAAACGTATTTACAGGTCTTGCTATGTAATAATTTATTATTTTTTTGAATTATAATGATGTATTGAATCATTCACACTAAAAATTATACCTGGATTATCGTGCTAAATATTGGTTTTTGTCATTTTGATAAAGTAAGGTTTATCTGCGGAATTGCACATTTTTAAAGATCTAAAAAACGTATTTGGAGGTCTTGGTATGTAATGATTTATTGTGTTTTTGAATTATAATAATGTATTGAATCATTCATACTAAAAATTATACTTGGATTTTTGTGCTAATATTGGTTTTTGATATTTTGGTAGAATAATGTTTTTCCGCGAAACCGCGCATTTTTAAAGACCTAAAAAATGTAATTAGAAGTCTTGCTATTTAATGATTTTTTATTTATTTTATTGCTAGTGGTGTACTAAATTATTGGTACAAAATTGTATTTGTAATCTCGTGCTAAATGTGTTTTTTTGGTCTCTTAGTTCTTATAGTCGTCTGACGACAAAACACCTGGGGGTTAATTTTTGAATCATTCGCCACCCTGACGTATGCGAAAACGTATACTTTTACCTAAACTGTATTTTTGACTTAGTCGATTCGTTTTCGCATGCGAAATTGACGTCACTTGCGAATAGGCATTAAATAGGTTTTGCAATGACATGACGTTTATTCATCTCGGTAAAGCAGTTTCATACTAGGTTTCTATTGGCAGATCATCGAATTTTGCTAAAATAATCTACAACTCTTCGGTAGATTGATCTGTTTGCAAAATATTTATCGAAGAGCATTCAAAAATATACTTTCCTTGACGCCTGTGATAAATGTCATATGCCAATTGACGCATACTACTTTTAGCGAATGGTTTCAAAAATTAACCCCCTGACTTTAAAAAGGCCAAAAAAATATATTTTAAATCATTGCTGGGCCATAATTTTTTGTTTAATCAATTAACAAAAACCTAATGAATATTTGGTATAAAAATTATATTTATAATCGCATTGTAAATGTGTTTGTTTCGTCCCCGTCTTTGTGTAAGATTATCTTATTTTTAACTAATAATTCAAATTGAATTAATCCATTTTTATCAATAAATACACTAATATTTATTTATTTCTAAACTTTCATGATACTAAAGTCCACCTAAACCAAAGATTTTGCCGAAACACAATATCAAAGTATTAAGGGAACGCCGCGCGGTTTTTTCTGCTAGTTTGTTTGCTAGCTTCAGCCTCATCCCGAGAATACTGGAAACCATGACCTCATATTCTGCCGTCCTAGCAAGAAAGGTTCTATCTGCAAAATTAGCAGTTTTTTTATTTCTTTTCATTTGTTTACATTTTATTTTTCTTGATACCAAAACGGAATGTCGTAATAGCATTGTAAATGTAAAGGTACTAAAATGTTAAAGAGTTACACAAAAAAGGTTTAGAAGATAATACATATATCGCCTAGTGAGAACATTAATAATAATAATAACTTATTCACAAAAAAAATACAATAATAATTACAATTACAAAGTATTATATCAATTTAAAACAGTACCTGTGAATAAAATATACTCGATGAGCGTATAAACGCTTGTTTCGAGTAAAACAAAAGAAATATATTTAAAATCCAAAATAATATTTAAAAGTAACATAAACTTAAAAAATCTAAAATCTTAAAAACCTTCACAATCAATTTTTTTTTGGGATAGATAATCTTTAATTTTCAAAATAACCATGGATCATTCTGCGATAGTTAGCTAGAGTAAATTGTTTTAGTCTTTTTTTAAAAGTATACAAGTTTGATACAGTTTGAATACTCTTAGGAATTATATTGTACAGTTTGGGTGCGAAATAGGAAAATGATCTCTGTGAAACTACCTTAAACATCAATCGAGCTAAATAACGACATTTTTGTCTAGTATTATATTTATGATATACTAGACCTTGAGGTTTACGAATATATTTGTTGCTACAGAAAAAAAAATACAATTGTCTTAGATCCATTATTTTTGTTTCAGTATATAAGGTTTCTGTGGATATCTAGATTTTTTTTGAATAAATTAACTTTAAAAGTCGCCTTTGTGTGACTTCTAAAGAGTGAAGGTGCGTTTTTAAAGCTGCACTTCACACAATGATTGCTTATCGAAGATGATTTTCAACTAGAGCACAAGAAAAGGTTTTAAGATGTTATAATGGTAAAACATCTTTTAAAAATTTGAATGTGTACAAAATACTGCGTAGTTTATTTACCGTGTAGGATATGTGTAAGTTCCAGTTTACATAAGGGTCTATTCTTACTCCAAGTTATTTAATTTTATTTTTATTTAAAATGAAAAGTGGGTCTCCGCTATCAGTAATTTTTAAGCGATCAAACGGTGGTCCACCATGTGAATTGCAGCTAAATGGTAAATAATGTGTTTTCTCTATCTTTACAATCAATAATTTTTTTAATAATTAGTGGCCTAACTCCGAAAATGGTGATCTGAGATAATCGCGGTTAAAGTTTGTGTGAAAATAAATTTTTTTTTTGACTATACGTTTGGAACTATCATACCGATTTTTTTCTCTAAATTTTAAATATCTTTAAGTCATAATGTAACAAGTTTTTTAAGTAAATTAATATTTACAATTTTACATTCGTCAGTATTGCGTTCGAAGGTGAAAATAAAAATACCAGGCTTTTACTGACGACTACCGCCACCGAGCGGATAGAAGTAGAACTATAATTCGCCAGTTATGCACCAACAATATTTTGAAGTACATACGTCGAAAACGAGTATTTTCAGTTACGTCACTAATGTTCTCACTGAACGATATGTCTGCGAAAAAAACTTATTTTGAACCAACAAATTTTTAGATAGGACCTTTTTTGCTAGGACGGCAGTATACAGGTTGAACTCGTCTGGTATACAGATACATCAGCAAAATTATTGCTATCTACTCTGATACCTAAGTAGCTCTAAAGGCAAGTATCTCACCAAAAATCAAACCACTACTGGTGAAAAACTGCCTAGAAGACCTGAAGGTGACCAAGCCTGGGTACCAGGCCACGTAGAATATCAGAGCAATTGAGTCCGACGAACTAGTCCGAGAAGGTTTAGATAAGGCCCAGACAGGCACCTGAAACTTTCTGTAGAGTTGCTAAATCATTATGCAAGGCATCCATCAAACAGATGCAAGAAGAGTCTCAGAACTGGTGGCACAACTATCCAGGACTGAGACAGGCCAAAGAGTTCATCAAGGAACCGTCGGCCAGCTTTTCAAAAATTAAATCATAGCCATTAATTATAATTATATATTGTTTTTTTTTTCAGCCCTATGCCGTCCAAAACTAACTCTAAACTTAAGCGACCTTGGGAATAGACAAAAGCATGGATTGGGATTAACCCTTTCGGGACTTGGCTTGACTCTGAATTCAAACATTAACCAACCTTCAACTAGTTCTGACGCCATCGACGTATATCTTCCTCTTGAAAAACAAGGGTAAGAAAATTAAACAACTTATCAGTGTTAAAAACAATTTGAATAATAATATTAATTTATAGGTGGTTCCATGGCCAAATTAGCAGGGTGGAAGCTGAAAATGTACTGAGAATTTTAAGAGAGGGCAGTTTTCTAGTCAGGAACAGCGAGTCCATCAAAAACGATTTTTCGTTATCTCTAAAGTAAGTATACGTAAAACTGGCAGCATAATCACGATCAAAATAATAAAAAATACTTCTAGAAGAACCTCTATTTGAGATGTCCTCTAGCAGAAATAATAATAGGTACTCAGTATTCAATAATACCCAATATCTTCAATTAGTGCACTAGCAAATAAAAGGGTGGTACAGTCGGCGTAACATTTGAGTTATTCTAAGAGACCCTGGGAACAATGTTTTTTCTCGTGCTTTCACAGCCGTTCTAAAAAGATTTTAACAGGTATATTCTACGAGAGCATTGTCTTCATTTTCATTAGATACCTTCCCTACTGAAAGGTCTTCGCAATCTTTGTACTCCTTGTCAGCGTTTCTTAACGTAAAATATACAACTTTTACTGACATTTAATTCAGCAGCTACTTCACTTAAAGAGCATTTTTCTTCCAATTTTGCTATAGCCTTCAAATTTTGAGCCTCAATTAAATTATGCGACATTTTTGAAAATTTATTTTACAATCATTTTTAAGAGCTCTCGAATTTGTATGTGGCGAACGACTATAATGCAGTCCAAATCGCACCATTAAATTTTGGCATTTACATTTCGGTTTCGTCAACTGTACCAAAGCCTTCAACTTATGTTGAATTTAAAACGAAAAATGATCACAGAGTAATAAGATATAAATGGTAACTCTAAAAGGTTGGGACATGGCTTAACTGTAGAGTCTAGGATAGAGTTTCTAGGATAAAGTCTAGGATAGAGTACGATAGAGTATGATAAAATATGCAAACAGCGTCCTAGGCTGAAGTGATATCCATGCAACACTGGCAAGGCAATTATATCATCAGAAATCAAATCACGACTGGTGAAAAAATGCCTAGAAACCCTGACAAAGCTAAGCAGTCCAAACAAAGTAACCTTAGGCTGGGTACCAGGCCAAGAAGAACATCAGAGCAATAAAAAGCCCGAGAAGACTCAGGTAAGGTCATGACAGGCCTCGAACTCTTCTGTAGAGTTGCTATGGCTTTATGCAAGGCTTCCATTAAACAATGAAATCAAAAAGAGCCTCAGGAATGATGGAACAACTATCGGACAATGTCTTCACATGAAGAGACAGCTTAATAAAGTAATCCCTGATTATTTTATTGCACCACTTACCGAATAATTTCGCCTAAGAAAACACACTAGTGATATCAATCCAGCAAAAAAGCAAGATTGTGCAGGTTTTGTGAAGAAAATGAGGAAATATCAATCCATGTCCTGTGCCACTGTGAAGGTCTGACTATATTGAGGTTTCTAACCCAGCTGAAGTATGTAACTACATGCGAGATCCACTATTAGAGCAACCAAGTCTAATAAAAAAGACCAAACTAGTCAACACACTCTAAATAACGGAGTTCTACAGTAATGGTAGACAAGGACAAATTCAAACTCCTTTCTAAATCTAATCTAAGTTGGGAATCATCTTATATATACAAGGTGATCCATTAGTATGAAAAAGTCCAATATCATCCTCCAAAATTTGGTCTCAAATACTCTACTTGAACAATTTTATCTTAAATTAACTTTTGAGGTATTCTTAGAGATCAAAGTGGAGTAGGGGCAAAAAACTATTGACACCGAAACGTTCGACCTTTGATTTCCATACACGACGGACATATTATTTGTCCTTCATTTTCATTCGGTGGATTTTGTTTCTTAGATGCGCATATTTTGGCATAAGTATATTTTTAATGACGTCATCATTTTTCGAAATACAACGTCCTCACCAGTTTTTAAATAGCACCACAATTTTTTAATAGTACCATTTAAAAGAAACAAGAAAAAAATGCTCAAACGTTTCCCAATTTCTTTACTTTTTTCTAGAGATAGATAACTAATAATTGCTTGAAACCATTTAGAAAACACCCACTCACTTTATGCCTGTCTCTCTCTCTCTCTCTCAACCTCTGGGCTCGCTGAGGTAAAATTATACAGAAAGTAATTTTGATCTGATTCAAATGAAATTGGGCATCAGGGACTAGACCTTAAGAACTAAGACTGACTTGGAATGAAAAATATTATGCAGGGACCCAAGAGGGCGAGCCTTTTGGTACTACTTACGATATCCCTCTTTCCAATAGTAGGCAAAAGTAAAAATCTAAGGATATTCAAAGAATCCGTATTTACACATCCCTCCCCAAGATCCCCAATAAACCAATAAAATGTATAGCTCGAAAATAAAATTTCGTGTTCGAACAAGGAATTTCGTGTTTGAACAAGAAATTCTGTGTTTGAACAACAAATTCTGTGTTTGAACAACAAATTCCGTGTTCGAACAAGGAATTCCGAGTTCAAACACTGAATTTCAGATTTTCGAGTTAAAATAAAGAATTCTGTGTTTGAATACGGAATTCCGCGTTTGAATACGAAACTCCGTGTTCGAACAAAGAATTTCCAGTTCGAACACGGAATTTTAAAATAAAATAAAAATTATTTCTACGCTGCCGTAGGTTTTCAATTGTTTCTTTTGCATGATATAGGTTATTGAATTCAATACGATTTTCATATAAAACTAATTATATCCTTCAAAATATCCTGTATAACCCCATAACAGATTATATTTTTACAATGGGAAAAGCAAAGATAATTCAAATATAAAATAAAATAGAGGGCGATTCATTACAAAAATATAATTTTGTTACAGTTATTTTTGAAATATAACCATTCTCTGAATATATTATTTTTTATACCTCTAATAATGGCGGAGATTGGACTTTTTCAAACTAATAGATCACCCTGTATGAGTCCCAACCTTTCGGAGACATCCATTTACAATAACCAGTTGATTTGAATTTTTTATTTAATTTTTTTTTTATCTGTGTTTAGGAGTGCTAGAGGCTTTATGCATATGAGGATACAGAAAAATTGCGAAGATGGTAGCTACGTTCTAGGCCAATTTAGTAAGCCGTTCAAGTCCATACCAGAGATGATCAAACATTTCTCAATAAATCGCTTACCGATACGAGGGGCCGAGCATATGTGCTTATTACAACCGGTGATTGCACAACTTTTGTGATAAGGAATTGGCGATCCTGTTCCAAATTTTTCAGGTTGCAATATATTATCTATTGTCTACATAAAGAATGTTAACACATTACACAATCTCTTACACAAAAATCAAAATTAGTTAGGTATACCTACATATATATATATATATATAGATTTCAAGTATTTCTGAGTAAAATACCTTTTGGGTAAAATAAAGAAAAAGCGTCTTTTTTAATGAATGATGTTTGACAAGATACCTACTAGATGAACTATTACATTTGATTTCTTTATTACCTCATTGATCCTGTTATGGATATTTTTGTTACATCTAACATCTAAGATAGTGTTTAATTTGTATTGATAATTTTTTGACTAGTTAAAAATTTATTAAACAACGGAACAAACAACATCTACGTTTTTCTTTAGTTTTTTGTGTAAGAGTGACCACTGGCTTCCATAATTAGAATAAAAATATTTATTCTGTTGATTTTTTACATGTTAATTATTTTTTTAACAATTCATATAAAATATGACGTAGTTAGTATTTCTCATACGAAATGTTTTTATAATATATCTAGGTACTATTAAACAGAACTATTAATTATATTTCGCAATAATAATAATATCGTGAATAAGAAATGTGTGCAATATTTTCTAGCCTTTGACTATCAGCCAATAAGACGATATATTCAAATATATTAAACTATTCTATAAAATTTCAAATTTAACAAACCCACTTACCACCCACTAGATGAGTTCGATAAAACGAAATCATAATTTAAAAAAATACAGGATACGCTACAAGTACAAGCCATCTATTGAACAAATGTCGAGCGACGATTAGGAGACGTTATCTTTAACGGTGCACGTTAAGTCTCGAGTATTTAACACTAGATGGATGCAATGTTCTATTTGCCAAAACCTTTGTAATAGGTGGAGAATAAAATAGTAAATTTGGATATATCATCTTGTGATACCTACATTATTTAGTTATTTTGTTGAATATTTTTTAACGTAGTTCTTGTTATATGTATATGTTAGTTGGTTACACAAAAAAAATGGTTTGTTCAACAAACAAAATGTATGATTTTGAACTAATATCGCCTTCAAAAGTTACTTTCCGTTTTTAGGGCTTCGTGAACATATTGCCAAAGAAGATGACTGTGAATATTTATACATACCTATCCCGTAAATATTATATACTTTTTAAAGTTATAATTAGATAATAAAGTAGACCTTAGATGAATGTAATTTATTATAGATTAAAAAAACAAAATTTTAAAAATTGGTACGTTAATATTATTAAAATCACCTGACTTCTCATTATCATTGTAATTTGTAATATAACTATATTTTTGTTTTAATGAATATAAAAAAATGCAGTTTAATATTTATAGTATACTGTATTATTGATGATTGAACATATATTAGTTTAGAGAATTTTGTGATTAATGTGTCAATACCGGACTGAATAAAAACTGAATAAAATTACTTGTGTTATTTTCCTTAGATCATATTTATATCATGTATTTGGACGAACATTTTTTTCCACCAAACAAAATTCCCAACCAAATTAAACTTTCCTAATAGGTACATTCATTCTTAAAATAGAAAAAATTGATAACTATCCTTACAGCACACATTATTTCAGAAGTGTTTCAGAAATATTTCAAACGTTTCAAAGATATAACATTTCACTAATATGTTTCTGAAACAAGATATAAATAATACACAAAAGGTTACTAAAAGGGTTATGTTGTAAAATGGCCAACGCTTAAGATGTGTTATGTGTAATCATTTTATTTCATCCTACGTCCATCCAGAAACAACCCTATATTCTAAATCAGTATTTCCCAAAGTGGTCCAGGTGGACCCCCAGGGGTCCACGGGTGACTCGACGGAGGTCTACGTTGGGCGTAATAAAAAATGGAGGTCCACAATCGTAAGCGGGGGTTTATGAAAATTAATTTGGTTTCGATAGTGAAGCAATATATTATTAAACAATTGATTACTCATTTTTCAATGTAATGAAGAAATTCTTGTAAAAAACTTCAACTGTTTATAATATAAACAGTCAACATTTTAGTTACTAAAATTCAATACCTGTTGCGGTATTCGCCAAAGGAGTAGTTGTTTTACGATGGAAAACTGTCGCTCGTATTTTGTTTGATATACGGCTTTGCGTTTTATTTATTTTATTATTAAAATTATAATTTTAAAACATTCGAAATTTTTCAAAATACCCTGTAACTTTTACTTTTTCTTTTTCTAAACAAACAAATACAAAACTGTCAAACACGTTTCGAGATATTGACCAAAACTTGTAAATGTGATTACGATGAAAGTTCTGAAATTACTATTATAACAGGTGCAGACAGTTAAAAAAAAAATTAAATTGTAGTCTTTCACACCCTGTATAACACTGAGAAGTGACTTTTTACTGAAGATCACATCAAGTCATTATTACAAGAAATAATAAATTTTCAGAATGTTCTTCATTTTTAAAAATCAGCTAAGACGTTTCCGAGATGCAGTCTCCTACAAATGACGATAAAATTAGGTGTAGAGGTGTAGATAAATTTATATTTTAAATAAAAGGTTCTGATATCGGATTAATTAATTCATTTGAAAACCTTAATCAATTAAACACAAAAAAACGCAGCGCGTTTCGCCAGCTGCATATCACAAGGAGATTATTATTCAGAAAGTATATCTTGATGTCAGTCTGGTTGATGAAATACGGTAGTGAAGCCCCTGGGGCATTAAAAACGTGAAAATTCGAACTTGAGCTGCATTGAGTGAAATTTTAAAGTCCAAAATGGAATATTTTACTACTAATATACATAAGAGTTCAATTTAAAAATTGTGATCTTGATTTAAAAAAAAAATAAATGATAAATGCAATAATTCAAAAAGTATATTTAGATAGCATTCAAGAAATAGAAGTAAATAAAGGAAAATTACTAATAAAATGTTTTTTTATTTAAACAATTTATATTTTCTTCGACTTTTCATCGAAATAAAAGGTGTTATACTAAATACTATCACAATTATTTAAATTCCACTGAATTATGCACACAAAAATAACACTTTTTTACTAATAACACATTAAATCTACCGTTATACTCTGTTAAATTATCGCAAACGTACCTACCTAAAAGGTTTCAAATTATAAAATATATCATAACAAATAGTTTTTTTTTAAACCCTGGTTCCGGTATTTCGAATATTCGCGAAATGATGATCTCATATTCATATTCATCGTTTGGAAGAAACGACTCACTGTGATTTTTTCATAAAACAAAAATAGTGAAGGGTATTTATCTGGTATTTCTTAATTTATAAAAACCACTTATTGTCCCTCATCTGACTGCAAAAAGTGGCACCCCGAGTTTTCTAGAAAAAAAAATGTTAAAATAGTCTAATTTATGGCGAATGAGGTAGAACTACTGAATAATAAATTGTTGCAAGGGCATTACTCTTGGTTGACAGTCATACAAACATTTTGATATATAGACAGCTGACAATAAAGTATTGGACTGTGAATATAAATAGTGAACGATTCAAAGACATTAGAAATATATATAAATTAGAAATAGTTGTGTTATAAAATAAATAAGTGTTTAAATAAATTATTAATAAATAAACTGTTGTTTGAAAATAAACAAACATCACAGTATATTAAACAATTTAATTTTAGGTTAAATTAGGCCGACCTAAATTTTTTGTATTTTTTTTGTAAATTAGTCCGTTCACATGTATTGTGCCAATCTTGGATCACTAATGTGTGTTTGCTATGTATTTTTGTTAATGTGTTCGTTTCATTGTTTGAGCAATTCTTTTGTAGTAAATTACTTTATTAAATGTAATTACAGATTACGATTCGTAGAAAAATAATACTTTATCTCAAATTTATAACAATTACAAATTTAACAATGGTCTTGGGCGGATAGGGCAACGTCTAAATATAAAACAGATGTAGCTAAACCCGATAAGTACCCTACCCAAACCATCGTACATAAATCCCAAACAGATTAACTCATTTTCATCCTTTTTCCCAAAACAATTATTTGAATGCCAGGTAGATCGTTTTACTTTCGACAATTATTCCTAAATTTTGTGTAAATATAGTAAAGATATAATAAAAATAATTTTAAAAAAACGTTTTATTTATTGTATATTACTATTTTTTCTATAAATAAATTTGCTTTGTCCTTCATCTCAAATTTACAATTAATTAAGATAATTTTTTAAGGCACAGTTATGGTGTTAAGCTCTTGCTTTTCCATTTTTTTACAATTTTACAAACATGTCAGATATTTATCTAAGATGAGAAAATTTCATTTATATGACCTCTATTTTAACAATGAACATATAACTAGGAACTTATAAATAAATAATCTCTTGGCGTAAAAAAAGATCAGAACTATTAAAAAAAAAAACTTAAGGAAAAAATGTAAAATGTTTTTTTTTAAATACTCATCCGCAAGAAGTTATATATCAATTATATAAAAATATGTATTTTATAACTATCTCAAAAAACTAAACGTTTTTCTAAAGATAAATGGCAGTCTGACAATTTTTAAATATAAATCTTTATCACAATAAAATTAAGAAGATATTTTCCATCATACATGAGCACAAGAATCCATTTTTCTATATTTATTCTCAGTCCTTTCAAAGAAATGCATCCTGCATATCTCGAAACATGTGGTACCGTATATGACAGCTCCAAAAATCAAAACGCTAAAAACGATGATGAGAATTGTTTTCCAGTTGCTGGGCTCTTTATAAAAGGGCACTGCAAGAAAAAAAGTAAATAAAACAACAACAACAACAACAACAATAATAATAATAATTTCAAATGAAACGTTTGGCTGTTAATATACAAAGTGTTTGACGGAATAGTGACAAAAAGTGTGGAACAATCACTCTGATAACAAATATTAAAAAAGGTAAATGTACCTAATTAATTTTAATCAAAATGTAAAATCCTTTAATATTGTAATTGTTTTTAGACATTTAAAAAATCTGGTAGGTAACTAAAGTAAAAATCTTAACTGAATGAAAGTATGCGTCAGAAATAGAAAATACCTATACCAACAGCAACTATATCTATCTAATGATAAAAATAAATATTTTCTCAATCACTTTTATTTAAAATAGAAGTAGAATCTATGTAGGTTTCCTGTGTATTTTAATTTTTTAAATATTATTTTGTAGCCATTCAAAAACAACTAATTAAATTAACATGTCAAATAATAATTATGTGGTTGTTTTGTAAAGCTGGAATGTAAAATTGCAAAAATTATGATTTAGATACTTAGCTAGTGATAAATTGTGGTTAATTTTATGTAAAAACCTATTGGATGATATAAATAAGAAACGAACATTGATAATAAAAAAGAAACCATAAATGTATGTGCATATCTACCTACGGGGCGTTCAAAATTTCAAAACTTTTCTAAAACATATTATGCATTCAAGATAATTTGCAATCAGAATTTAAAAAGTGTATTTTTTCCTTATAGTCCGGGAGGTAATGACAGATTTCAATAGACCATTTTCGCAAGCTTTATTTTTCGAATATGAGTTATTTAAATAGCATCTAACAGTAAAATCATCGTCTTCCATTCCAGTTGTACGACAGGGGCTTGCGGGAGGGTTGCAATTCCAGTAAAACAAATTATAAAAAAAAATCATTTTCGCATGGATGAAACTTGGTGTACACGTTGATATGAACATAAACATATTAGAAAATGTCGTCTTCCACCTGAATTGTACAACAAAGTACGTCTTCCATCCACATAAATAGGCGTAAAAAATAATAAAAAAAAAATTATAGTCGAAAAATCGAAATTTTAGTAAATAGATGAAATACGAAAAAATTCTGTTATAGATTTAAAAGTATGCAATACATTATTTGCATAATTTAGAGATAAGTTCGAATGGAGTATTTATAATTGCTCTAGTTAAAGTAAGTACAAAATATATGTATTTTATTGGAATTTTTATAGAGCTTCTTATCAATTTTTTTTAACAAATTACCTAATAATAAAATTAGACTGAAATGAAAACACTGGGTACATATAAATGCAACAGGAAGATAATAAAATTTAAAGTATTAAGTAGTACCATGACAGATAAACCTAGTTTAATTTAAACACATACTCATATACATAAATCTATATTTAATTTTATTAAAATACAAAAAAATACACAGTATGTCCTCCTAAGTTGGAATCATATGGAAAACTTTTTTATTATTAATTTTAGGAAGAAAAGTTATTCCTGATAAAAAGTCCTGCATGACCCAAAAATTAAAATGCAGTCATCAGATATAAAATT